GGTCCTAGGCTTTTTTTGTTATTTTTACGATTTTTTGGATGACTGATTGAGTTTCCTTAATGGTTATAGGTATGTTCAGATATTCTGTTTTATCAAGACTCAGTCTCAGTATATTGTGTATTTCTAGGAATTCATTAATTTCTGTAGGTTATCCAGTTTTTTGTTCATAGTACTTTCATAAATTCTTTTTATTTCGTAAAATTGATAGTAATATCTCTTTCATTTCTGATTTTAGTTATTTGACTTTCCTCTCTCTGTGTCTCTTTTTTTCTTAGTCAACCTAGTTAAAGCCTTGCCAATTTTACTGATCTTTTTTGAAAACTAATGCTTGGTGGCCAGACACGGTGGCTCACCCCTGTAATTCCAGCACTTTGGGAGGCTGAGGTAGGTGGATCACCTGAGTTCGGATGTTTGAGATCGGCCTGGCCGACATGGCAAAACCCCATCTCTACTAAAAATACAAAAATTAGCTGAGCATGGTGGCAGGTGCCTGTAATCCCAGCTACTCAGGAGTCTGGGGCAGGAAAACCGCTTGAACCCAGGAAGTGGAGGTTGCAGTGAGCTGAGGTTGTGCCACTACACTCCAGCCTGGGTGACACAGCAAGACTCTGTCTCAAAAAAAAGAAAAAGAAAACTAATACTGGTTTATTTTCTTTATTTTCTTTTCCCATTATTTTTCATTTATCTTTAATCTTTATTATTTTCTACCTTCTGCTAGGTTTGGATTTTTTTTTTCACCCCTATTTCCTTATGGAATAAATTTAGGTTGTTAAGTTGGGATATTTCTTCTTTTTAAACATAAGTATTTACAGCTTTGTGTTCCTTTCTAGCACTGCTTTTGCTGTGTCTTACTAATTATGATGGTACAGTCTGTTTTTATTTTCATCTCAAGATATTTTCTAATTTTTCTTGGGATCACTTTTTTGATCCATTTCTTAAGAGTGCTTAATTTTTATACATTTGTGCATTGTGCTTTTTTCCATCTGCTATTTATTTCCAGATTTATTATTTTGTTTCTGGAAAAGAACCTTGAATAATTTCAGTCTTTTATAATTTTACAGTTTTGTTTTCAATTGACATGTATTAATTGTACATATTTATTAGGTACAGGGTGATGTTTCAATACATGTATACACTGTATAAAAATCAAATTGATATTTAGAATATTCATCACCTTATACATTTATCATTTTTTTGTGGTGAGGACATTCAAAATCTTTCTTCTAGCTATGTTAAAACATGCAATACAGTATGGTTAACAATAGTCACTCTAACTGTGCAATAGAATACCAGAACTTATTCTTCCCATCTTACTGTAACTTTGTACTCACTGACCAATCTTTACCTATTTCCCCTCTTGCCAGTATTCCCCAGTGTCTGGAAACTACTATTCTATACACTACTTCTATGATGTCAACTTTTAGATTTCACATGTGAGTGAGATCATGCAGGACTTGTCTTTCTGTGCCTGGCTTATTTCCCTTAGCATTACGTCCTCCAGGTGCATTATGTTGCTGCAAAGGACAAGATTTTATTTTATTTTTTAATAAGGAATAATATTTCTTTGTATATTTGTATATACCACATTTTCTTTACCAGTGCATCTGTTGGTAGACACTTGATTGATTTTGTATCTTGGCTTTTGTGAAAAGTGCTGCGATAAACATAAAGTGCAGATTTCTCTTCAACAAACTGATTTCATTTATTTTTTTCTCTTTTTTTCTTTTTTTTTTTTTTTTTTTTTTCCTTTTTTCTTTCATTTTTCTATTTTATTTTATTTTATTTTATTTTATTTTATTTTATTTTTTGGTGTCATGACTCAGGTATGAACCAAAACTGATTTCATTTCTTTGGGATATCTATACATTAGTGGGATTGATGGATCATATGGTAATTTTATTTTTAAATTTTTAAGGAACTTCCATACTGTGTCTTATAATGGATGTACTCATTTATATTCCCAACAGCAATGTGAAAGGGTTTCCCTTTCTCCACAGTCACAGTGGCATTTGTTATTTTTTGTCTTTTTGATGATAACCATTCTAATAGGTTGAGGTACTATCTTGTGGTTTTGATTTTTATTTACCTGATAATTAGTGATGTTGAGCATTTTCTCATATCTGTTGACCATTGTGTGTTTTCTTTTCTCTTTACAAAAATTTTGACACTTGTTTTGTGACCTCACATATATCCTGGAGAATGTCCCATGTGCACTTGAGAAAAATGTGTATTCTGCTGTTGTTGGGTGGGGTGTTCGGTATGTGTCTGTTGGTCCAATTGATCCAACTGATCAGTATGTTAATTAGGTCCAATATTTCCTTATTAATTTTCTGTGTGTTTGTTTTGTCCATTACTGCAAGTTGGGTATTGAAGCCTTCTACTATTAATGTAGTGCTATCTGTTTCTGTCCTCAATTCTGTCAGTGTTTGCTTCATAAGTTTTGGTGGTTTGATGTTTGGTGCTGACATGTTTATAATTGTTACATCTTTTTAGTGAAGTTTCAGATTTATGATTATATAATGCCCTTTATTTTTTTGTAACAGATTTTGATGTAAAGTTTATATGTCTAATATTGGTATAGGTTGAGTATACTTTATCTGAAATGCTTGGAATCAGAAGTGTTTTCGATTTTGAATTTGTTTTTTCAGATTTTAGAATACATGCATATCAAAATGAGATCTTGGAGACGAGACCCAAGTCTAACACAAAATTCATTTGTGTTTCAAATATACCTCGTACACATAGCCTAAGATAATTTTATACAATATTTTAAATAATTTTCTGCATAAAACAAAGCTTGTGTGCATTCAATCATCAGAAAGGAAATTTGTCTCTATCTCAGCCACTCATTGAGGCAATCTATGGATTTTTGACATCATCATTATTCCTGACTCTGAACTTATATGTTACTGATAAGCAATCATTTTCTTACAATTATTTACACATAAGTTCTTAACATTAAGAAATATAAGGTACTATTAATACAGTGAATATACAGCATGTTCAGTGTGAGTAAGCAGCACAGTAGCATCACCGGGAATGTCTATCTACTGTTACACAGCAGCAACAACAAACAGTGGCAGGCTTTCAGTTTCCACCTACAATGCTGTGTTTAGATTAAAAGGTAACTTTAGAATGTACTTAATTTTTTTTTTAAGTGAGAGGAAACATTAGAAGCAGCTGAGGGGCCAGGAATTGGATCCTCAAGGGATGAGGAGGCATTTTTCTAGATGGCTTTTTAAAATGTTTCCTCCAGAACCAACTGCCTCACTAACAGTGTTTTTTGTCTGAGAAGTCTCTGTTTGATTTTATAAACTGTCATGATTTCTTGTTCTGTTATGAATATATGCTGCTCCAGTGCTTTAATAAGCCTATCACACATTTTCACTGTGTGGTCTATAGACACTTTTTCTGCATTGGTAACATCATAATCTTCATCTACATCATCCACTTGTGGTATCATGTCAGCACTCAAAAAGTTTCAGATTTTGGATCATTTCAAATTTGGAGTTTTGGATTAGTGATGCCCAGATTATATATTTGTCTCTGTTTTGGTTATTTTTGCATGGGTTTTCTTTCCTCCCTCCCTCCCTCCCGTCCTCCTTCCCTGCCTCCCTCCCCTCCCCTCCCCTCCCCTTCTTCCTTTTTTGCTTTTAACCTTTGTGCTTCCTTAGAGCCAAAGTGAGTCTCTTGTAGACCACGTACCCTTGGATTCTATTAATTTTATTGTTTATTTATTTACTTGTTTTGAGAGGGAGTACTACTGTATTGCCTAGGCTGGAGTGCAAAGGTGCAACGTCGTCTCACTGCAACCTCTGTCTCCTGGGTTCAAGCAATTCTCCTGCCTCAGTCACCCAAGTAGCTAGGATTACAGGCATGTGCCACCACGCCTGGCTAATTTTGCACTTTTAGTAGAGATGGAGTTTTACCATTTTGGTCAGGCTGGCCTAAAACTCCTGACCTTCGGTGATCCACCCACCCTGGGCTCCCAAAGTGCTGGGATTACCGGCGTGAACCACTGCGCCCTGCCGGGATCCTGTGTATTTTAATCCATTCTGCCAATCTGTCTTTTTATTGGGGTGTTAAGCCATTATATTTGAAGTTGTTACAAATAGGCAAGGACTTTGTATTGCCATTTTGCTAATTACTTTCTATATGTCTTACAGCATTTCTTCTTTCTGTTTTACTTTTTACTGCCTTTCTTTTTGTTTAGTTAATTTTTTGTAGCAACTTTGATTCCTTTTGGGTTTAATTAATAACATAATTGACATTAACCTCAACATAGCAATGAGGTCTGGCTGTGTTGCTCAGGCTCGACTTCTAGGCTCATGTGATCTTCCCACCTCAGCCTCCCCAGGTATGCTGAGACTACAGGTGCCTGCCATCATGCCTGGGTGACTTTTGTGTATATTCTAAAGATTTTTTTGTGTGCGTGGTTACCATGGGAATTACTTGTAACATCCTAATGTTATAGCAGAGTATTTTAAACTTTTGTTATCCCATTTCCTGTATATTACAGCCTTAACAGTTGTCCTATAGTTCTTGTACATTCTGTTCTATTATTTTTCTCATTTTCTTTTCTTTTTTTTATTTGAATTTGGGAAGTTTTTATTTAAATATCTTGGGGATCACTGATTTTTGCATTAAATAATTTTTTCCCCAGCGGTTTATTGCAAGTATATTTAAATGTAGTTTACTTTTTGCATATTGATCTTGTGTCATGCTACTTTGTTAGATTCATATTGTTTGTATAATTCTGATTAAAATGTTTGTACATATTAACATTGAGCTACAATTGCAGAGGTCAGAAGTTACAATAAGTGAAGATTTGGTTAGGCATACAATCTTAGACTATGTATAAAAATGAAGGTGAGATAATGAGATCATCGGTAGATTATATTATCTGTTAGGTACATTATTTATATATTTTTCCTGAGTATCAGGAATGAAGCATACTTAGTAACTTTTTAAAATGAAAAATATTTGATTGTTTCAATTTTTTTTTAAATCTCTTTTAGGAGCTGTGGCCCTCAAGAATCTTCAAATTAAAGAAAATGCTCTGGTAGGTTTAGACTATGAAAAATTTGTAAAGTTATTGCATTTAATTATGTATACTTCTTCCTGATTCAGTTTGCCACCTTCAATTATTTAAATTTGAGAGCATTTTTTGTAGATAATTTTTGCAAAATGTAAATTTTGAAAACCGGGGAGATGGAGGTTGTAGTGAGCAGAGATCTTGCTGCTGCACTCTAGCTTGTGCAGCAGAGTGAGACTGTCTCAAAACAAAACAAAACCAAACATACAAAAAATATGGATGTTTTTATTTTGATTTTTTAACTTGTTTTCTTTCTTTTTTTTTTTTTTAAAGACAGCCTCATGCTCTGTCACCCAGGCTGGAGTACAGTGTGTGATGATAGCTTACTGCAGTGTTCAGCTCCTAGGCTCAAGCCATTTTTCTCCTTTAGCCTGCTGAGTAGCTGAAAAGTTTTTAATTTGATAGAGACAGTTCATTTATTTTTTTAATTGCTTGTGCTTTTATTGTGGTATCCAAGAAGTCATTACCGAATCTAATGTCATGAAGATTTTCCCTTATGTTTTCTTCTAAGGGTTTCATAGTTTTAGCTCTTAGGTTTAGATCTTTGATCCATTTGAGTTTTTGTATATGGTATAGGATAAGGGTTCAGTTTCATGTTTTTGCAAGTGGATATCTAGTTTTCCTAGCACCATTTATTTAAAAGGCTGTTCTTTGATTAGGGAGAATGTTTTTGAAAGTATTTTTTACAAAATGCATATTTTGCAAAATAGAGTTTTAATGTCCCTAAAAGCACAAACTGACATTTTAATGGCCACTTCTTTTTCTTTTTTTTTTTTTTTTTTTTTTTTTTTTTTTGAGGTGGAGTTTCACTCATGTTACCCAGGCTGGAGTGCAATGGCGCGATCTCGGCTCACCGCAACCTCCGCCTCCTGGGTTCAGGCAATTCTCCTGCCTCAGCCTCCTGAATAGCTGGGATTACAGGCACGCACCACCATGCCCAGCTAATTTTTTGTATTTTTAATAGAGACGGGGTTTCACCATGTTGACCAGGATGGTCTCGATCTCTTGACCTCGTGATCCACCCGCCTCGGCCTCCCAAAGTGCTGGGATTACAGGCTTGAGCCACCGCGCCCGGCCTCTTTTTCTTAAAATAATATAAAATCAGTAATGATTTGATATGAGTAGGTTTTGTGGTCATTTTTACTATAGACCTTTATCCCCAATTATTATAAAAAGAGCAGCTTCCCTGAATTTTATGGATTTGATAATAATATTGCAATTATATGTTTATACATTTAAGTAAATGTTGATGTAAGGAAAATGTATACATTTATTTTAAAAAATCCCTTGAAATAACTTTTGGAAGTAAAAAGTATTCATTTGTATTGTTAAACTCTCTATCTACTAATGTTTTGTGTATATATAAAATTTTTTTTTGTAGAGTCAACTGGATGTACCATTTAAAGTTAAAGTTGGTCATATAGGTAAGCCACATTTATTATTGGAATATCCTCCTTCTTGGACATGCAACCAGAATAATTTGCCTAATATTTCTATTATGTGATATTTTTCATGTTTCCGAGCATCAATTAAAAATGATCATGTGTTTTTGTCTCAGTAGAGCTTCGTCGTGTAGCTTAAAAATATTTTTCAATTCATATATCCCTTACCCAGTATTTAATAACCTAATAAATTACATATCTCATTAGGTGGTAAATTGAGTTAATTGAGAGCCAAAGGATCTTAACTATTTCAGTTTCTTAGGTTTCTGACTAGTTACCACTGCTATATTCCGATTAATGTTGGATACATTGAGTAAAGAATAGGTTCTGGATCATCCAGGCCCTGTGACTAGGGGCCAACTTAAAACCTAATTTCTGCTCTGCAAGTTTCTGTATGTTTTCAGAAAATACTGTGCTTTTTGTTGTTTGTTATGATTTTACCAGTGTTTATTGTTTATATCTTAAATATACTGGTTGAGCAGGAAATGATTGGAATTTGAAGTTTTAACATGTTAAATAAAAACTTGTGTGTCATGTTTCTTGTGTTACAGTTTTACTGGTTTAAATATTGTGCAAGATAATAGTGTCTTAATTTGGGACTTTGAGATGTTTTTGTTATATAGTTTTTACCGTATGAAATATAAATTGTTATTGAAGCTATACTGGTGTGACTTGGGGATCAAGGTATTCTGAAAGCTGTCATTAATTACGTGATAAAGGTCTTCATAATTGTGTGTAGTTACGGTTGGCGTTAGACAATATACCATAGAAAGTTTTCATTATTATATGTTACTGAGAGTATAAAATTCTAACCTCCCCAACCCCACCTTTTAAAGACATTTTAGCATGAGTTAGAGGGGGAGAATGTCACCCATTTTTTTTAATCCCCCTAACATTTTAGTTTTTTCAGATTTCGGATTATTTACATGTGTACATTTTAAATACTTGTAAGTTCATATATATTGAAAGATTTGTAATTATACTATTTTTACAGTTTTATGTTTTATTTCATTAGTGTGTATAAAGGATTTCTTGTAATCTGAGTTGATTTGGTCTCATTTATTCTGTACCATAATAATCCAGTGAATGCATATTTGGATATTGTAGAATAATTTCATTTTTCAGTTGGTACAAGAATATTACAATACATATTTTTATGTAACTTTTAAACTTTTACCAAAGGTCATTGAATTTTACAGTGATGATTGTTGTATTTCAGTGTATTTAAATTTAACCTCAATTCAAGAACAATCAAAAAATATGTCAGGAAAGTAGATAGACCTATTTTCTTTAGAATCTGCCTGCCTTCTTTTTTCTTGCCTAACCTTGTTTAAAAATGATAGTAAGATAATTTTCAGTGATAAGATAGTAGAAAGTACACTGAACTAAACCTAATTTTGAGAATCATTTAAGGTGTTGTATACCTCTGTCATAGCATCTGTCTTTTTAAAAAATCACTGTTTTTTCCCCCCTTCTAGTAGACACTTGAGTTTCTTGAGAAGAAGTGGGTTTAATTGTTAACGTATCCTCACCACTTTAGCACATTACCTGGCATTTATACTGGGGCACAATTTGTTGTATGAAAGAAGTACATGTTTTCAAATGAATGGTACAGTAGTACAGTCAGTTTTACACGAATGTATTGTCCCCTTGCTATTATTGTGTATTGATCTTTCAAAGCTTTCCTCATTTAGAATGCAGAATTACATGTATATCAAATATAAATACACATGTACATATTGTAAAAGAAATTGTCTTTTATGGAAGGTTTTTGGAATTACATCTGTGTATTTTTCGGATTTTGCCAAATTTTCTACAAGGAGTCTACATTTTATAAGGGAAGGAAAAAAAAGGTTTGTTTGTTTGTTTTTTGAGACAGCGCTCTCTCTGTCACCCAGGCTGGAGTGTAGTGGTGCAGTCTCGGCTCACTGCAACCAATGCCTTCCTGGTTCAAGTAGTCCTCCCACCTCAGCCTACCAAGTAACTGGGACTACAGGTGTATACCACCATGCCTGGCTAATTTTTGTATTTTTTGTAGAGACAGGGTTTTACCATGTTGCCCAGGCTGATCTTGAACTCCTGGACTCAAGTGATACTCCTACCACAGCCTCTCAAAGTGCTGGGTTACAGATGTGAGCCACTGCTCCTCGTCAAGTTTGTTTTTTTAAAAAAAAAAGATTTGGCGGTGAAAATGGCACACTGTTAATATGTGTTTATTATTTATACAGTTTTGTCATTGCTCTTTGTCCTTCTGTTCATTTGCTTTTTTTTGGAGTATTACTGTGTATATTTAAGCAGTCTGTTGGTACATTTATAAATAAATTGTGTCAAATTTGTTACGGTTTTTTCCTAATCTGTTTATTTCATTTTGCTTATATTTTTGGTCTCTACAGAAATTTGAAATGATCACCATGTTCTCTGATTTAAAAACGTAGAAAGTTATTCCCCTTTTAGAAATCAGATAGTGTAGAGGCTGGGAAGGGTGGCTGACACCTGTAATCCCGGTGCTTTGGAAGGCAAAGGCAAGAGATTTGCATGAGGCCAGGAATTTGAGACCAGCCTGGGCAACATAGTGAGACCGTATCTCTACAAAAAATATAAAAAAGAAATTAGATAGTTCATTTTCTCTGAAGTGATATTGTATGATGAAATCTTTTTCTCAGTTTGAAGTTTTCTAAACATGGAGTTTATAAAATATGAGATGGATCTAAGTAGATTTAAAAAAAATTTCCCAATTACTAACCAGTTTTAGCAACATAGTGTATTTAATAATCTGTTCCTTATACAATTATGACAACTGTTTATAAATCTAGAAACTCATACCATTTAGACAATTTTAAAATATTTTAAAACTCTTCTATTATAAAAACATTCTCAATATACAAAACTAGAGTGAGTAGTATAAGAAGCCCCATACATAATGTTTTTGTAGTTCAAGAACCCTTATGCGTTAAAAAAAAAAAAAAAAAAAAAAAACTTTGCTATTTGATTGTCTGAGGGTATTTTCATTAGTTTGCATAATTTTCAAATATTACCCAAGATGTTTTATTATTGTATGTATAATTTTTCATATATAGTTTATATGTATGATTATTGCCACGTGTGTATGTATATCAATTCCTGTACATATATACATATGTATGTAACACACATACACATCATGAAAAATATACATACACACGCTTATTTAAAGTATATAATTTATTTTTCTTTGGTGGGGAGGTACAGGTCTCACTGTATCACCCAGGCTGGAGTGCAGTGATATGATCATGGTTTACTGTAGCCCCAACTTCCTGGGCTCAAGATCCTCCCACCTCAGCCTCCCAAGTAACTGGGACTACAGGCACATGATGTCATGCCTGCCTAATTTTTGTAGTTTTTATTTCCCATGTTGCCCAGGCTGGTCTTGAACTCCTGGGTTCAAGTGACCTACCTGCCTTATCTTCCCAGAGTGCTAGGATTCCTGGTATGAGC